CCTTTTTGGTTTTAATTTTTTTCCAATTCTGAAGTGAAAACCCATGACCGGTTTCTTGAGCCTGACTCCTTCGTTGATGTACGTCTTTTGTATTTTAAAATATTTCTAAGTATTTGTTTGTCATCTATTTGTTTGCCTACTAAAGACTTTCCAAGCAAAAAGAACCTAACCGCAAAAAGAGCTACCCAACTGAATATGACTATTGCTGGATCAGACTCCAGTGGTCTTTGTGATGGTTGATTTTTTGTGTCAAAGTGCCTAGACCGTGGTACCTGGATATTTGACCAACTCCCCTGAATGCTGCCATGGAGGTGTTTTTCAGATGAGTTTAACATTTAAGCACCAGAGACTTTGAGTAAAGTAGATTACCCTTCGTCATGTGGGTGGCCCTCGTCCAATCAGTTAACACTTTAAGAAAAATGCTGTCCTCTTCCGAGGAAGAGAGAATTCCCCTGGCCGTGGCACACTGCCTCTGGACTCAAGCTACAGAATCAGCTCTTTCCTGGGTCTCCAGCCTGCAGGCCGACTCTGCAGGTTGGGACTTGCTAGCCTACACGATTTTATGAGCCAATGATTTAAAATCAATCCGTCTCTCTGGGTCTCTTTCTCTTTCTGGAGAATAACCTTGAGCGATACAGCCTTCATACCCATAGTCCTCCAGCAATCTTACTGTTTCTTCTTCTATTCAAGAAATAACCTACTGGATAGCCAGCCACGAGATGCCAATAAAGCGATTCTTCTTTACGGTGACAATACCCGCCCTCCCCCTCCTCCATCTTTTCCCCCTGCATGAAAATTTATATACGTGAGAACCCCAGAAATCATCCAATTCTTACCTTGTTTCATATTTTTTCTTTGCTTTTCCCATCAGTGGCGGAAAGTGGAATTTGGCTGCCATCACTGATAAAATAGACATTGCAACTTTGAAGACCCCTGCCTTCTGGTTGAAACCTCCACGGCTTCCTTCATCTGTCTCTCATAAGTACTGTTTACCGGTGCTTTACTCATCTACATTTCTCTCCTTTGAGCCCTCTCCAAGTTCACTCTTTGACTTAACTGGGACCTTCACTTTGATCAGAGTGATATTTTTGATGGACTGACACGGGGTCCCTGGGATGAAGTCAGGTATTGGGCATTGCCAAGCATGTCCCACAGAAATCTATTCCTGAGTGAATGTACATCAACTTAAGCATAGCAGACATCAGCATTTACCAGGCCCTACCTATATGCAAGGCTCTGAAGCAGATGATTTACAGCCGCCGTTTCATTTTGTCCTGTAAATTAGACACAAGAGACTGTATTGATTGTTGCCCTGATGCTGAACTCCTGCTTTTAATAAGAAATGAAACCTCTGAGCTTTGGCTGGGTACATGAACATTAGAAATAAAAATTAAATCTTCCAGCCTGTCTTGCATGGAGATATGGCTTGTGTGACTAATTTCTGGCCAGTGGACTCTAAGAGGAAGGGCTATGGGGAACTTCTGAGAAATACCCTTAAAGCAAGGATGGTGCTTTCCCTTCTGCCTGATGACTGGACTTTGGACAGAGTGCTTGGAGCTGGCAAAGCCATCTTGAACCCTGTGGTATGAATAGGATGGTGTGGCAGGATGGTGGGACAATCGGATAAAAGCAGCCTTCAGCCCTGATGACCTGTGGAGCCATCTTACTCATCTGAAACTACTTGCATCCAGGTTATTTCTATTCTCTTTAACATCTTAAGTCCCTTGGGGTTTTTGAGTTTCTGTCACCTGTAGCTGAATCTGACACTAATGGATTCAGTAGGTTCAAATAGTTCCATTTAAAAGAAGAAATCGAGGCTCAAAGAGGTTAGATAACTTGTTCAAAATTACCTAAGTAGCAAGTTGTAAGTGCTGGAGCCTGGTTCTCTCCCATGCTGAAGCCCACGGCAGAGCTTCTTGTTGGTGAGTGCAGGCCTGTAGGTAACCTTCTTATCTTTATTCCTGATGGAAAGATTCTTCTGACTAAGCATAGTTTGGTGCAGCTGCTGTTGTCTGGAGAGAGGTTCAGAGGCCCCTTCATGAAAGATGCTCCAACCAACCCCTGTAGCCTCGACCATTCAGGAACCCTGGATAAACTTATCCACTAGCTACCTGATATGTTTGCCAAGTAGCTCCTTTTTAAAATGCAGGGTAGCATGGATGTCTTGCACACCCTGTCAGACCACTAAGCCTGCCTGTCCAAACAAATCTACTTTGCCATGACTTTATTCCCCTGGCGTGTTGATACACACACTTCTCCCACTGGGGCTTGGGGCCTGAGCATGTCTGAGAAATTGAATGGCAGCAAGTTTCCCTGCCAACACCCAAGCAAACATCCCTGGAAACAGGGAAAGGGAGAGCCTTACTGTGCAGTGGCCTGGCTTCTGTGTGACTCTTCTGCCAAAGGATTCTGGAAGCTTCCTTCAGATAGAGAGACCCTCAAGGTCCTTCAAATACTCAACAGCAGTCTATGCCACAATGTGAAAGACAGCCCCAACAGAGAAAAATGTGTCTTTTTTCTGCTTGTGTGAGTCCAGGCTCTGCTGTGGTTTACTGTGTGACCTTGACGAGAGACAACGTGTTGTGTCGAAAGAGCACAGGGTTGAGTTTTTGAAAGTGTGGCTGCCTGGTTACAACTCCCATGTTGTATCGTTCAGTCTTGGGCAAGCCGCGTAGACTCTCCGAGCCTCTCAGCTATAAGATGAGAATTCATTCATTCCCCCACCTCTCCAGGTATGATACATCTCTCCATTCATCTGACTCAGTTTTATAAAATGTGCAGTTTTCTATCTCTGGGCACACAGAGATAAACCGGATATAGTTTCCCTGCTGAGTTGTAGCATCATTATGGCAAATCTCAAAGTGTTAATGGATATGATGGTAATTGAGAAGGTAGAAAACTATACGTACAAAGAGTTATTTTTAAGTCACAACTTTGGTAACCTCAATTTTCCCTCCTTTAGGGTGGGAAACCCAAAATATGCCCAAGGGAGTCAATGGAAAAATAGGCATCGACTAGCAAACTGGTTCCTGAGGCCACTAGAAAGAGTTGGTCATAGATGGGGCATCAAATGTTGAACCTGGACTCATGCTAGAACAAGTATGTACTAAGAAACTCCATGAAACTCTCCATCCTCAGAGCCCTTGCCCAAGTTCGCTGTATCTAAAGAAACCGCAGGCCGCAGACTCCTATCCTTATGATTGGGAGATGTCTCTTGTCAGCCAGGAGAGAAATTTCAATCTTTTATTGAAAGCATTTTGCAGCAGGAAACTCTTTTTTTTTTTTGCCAGTGCCAACATAATTTAACTATGATTTAATAGCTTCTTTCATTTACTTGTTAAATTATGCCTCTCCATCACCTTCCCTTTGGGTTTTCCCGCCTTTTCGTCCTACAACCTCCCATTATTTATTAATGCCCCATAATACATGATAGAGGCAAGCAGAAAGCAGCCATTTCACAATGATTTAGGAAGCTCCTGGCAGCGACACAACAAGAACAGGAGCATATGTTCTGAGAGTCTTCCCTGTACTTGCCTCTTTGGACCTGAGTTGGGTAGATCTCGGTCATCATCTACGTGGGTCCTCTCCACCCCTCTCTATCCACCCCCCTGGCCATTTTCCTGCCCTGAGCCAATTCAAAACACTTGGCTCAAAATTACTAGTGAGTCACAACTCATGTTTTTTTTTTTTTTTTTAAGTGCCAACTGCTAGAATGAGCATGCTTCTCAAAGTGGTACTTAACCTAAATGACATAAAGAGGTAATTTGCTTTCCCTCCAAGGGAGGAGCCCTCTGGGGGATGAGGAAGTTTCAGATGGTTTCAATCTTTAGGGACTCAGTTCTTAGAAGGAAGGTTGAAAGAACCCAGGTCCCTGCATCTCCTGCGATTCTTTTCTGGGAACAGCTTGGACCATTTTGATTTGTGGGAAGACTCTCACAGGGAATGGAGTGAGGATGCTCCCAAGTACAGACTTGGAGTTATTTCACGGCTTCCTCAAGGATACATATGGGCTCCTAGCTGGACGCTCATCATAGTTCTGCTTCCTCCAGGCCCTTGTGAGAGTCACATCTGTCCACGTCCCCAGCCTACTTTTCCTCCTCCTCGCCCCTTCCTTTCTGCTTTGGGCCAGACTAGCCCTCACTCTGAGTCTGTGAATGGCCTGTGGGGGTCCTACAGGTGACGGGAGGAAGGGCACCTAGGAAGCACAGTGACCGAGCCGTCGTCACACAGGTGAAGACTGGCAGAGCCAGAATCCGAGCCAAGCTTTCTTTTTGGCTGTAAATGTCTGCGGAGGTATGTTAGTATTTAATCTTTCGGAGATAATATACACTCAAGCCCTTAGCACAGTGCCTGGTATGTAAGGCGTGCTGGCTTTCCTTTTCTGCAGACCACCCAAACCCATGGGCTTCCCAGGCGGCTCAGTGCTAAAGAATCCACCTGCCACCACAGGAGATGCAGGAGACATGGGTTTGATCCCTGGGTCAGGAAGGTCCCCTAGAAGAGGAAACGGCAACCCACTCCAGTATTCTTGCCTGAAAAATCGGAAGGACAGAGGAGCCTGGTGGGCTACAGTTCCTGGGGTCGCAAAGAGTCGGGTATGGCTTAGTGATTTAGTTCCACAGCAGGGCTTCACAGGAGGGGCAGGGGAGTGCATGGACAGATCCCTGGAGTGAGAGAGTTGGGCTTTCATCCTGCTTGTCCACTTACTGACTGGGCAAACTTGGAGGGGCTGCATGGCTTCTGTGGGCCTCAATCTTCTTATCTGTAAAATTGGGAGATTGGGTTATGATTTGAGATCCTTTCCTGTTGTAACTTTGCTTTTCAGACTGCCTTAGTTGAGGTTGTCAAGGACTTAGAGTCCCCCCCAAATGAATAAGGAAGTCATGACAAGCTCAAAGTAATTGAGGCTTTATCATTGTTATATTGGGCAATGGTCAAATCAAAGCAGAAGGATTTCTTGTCCTTTTTGGCAGTCCAGCCTCTTATTTCTCTCCAGGTCCCAGATGCCACTTGGCATATGTGATGCTGTGTTCCCACTGGTTCCCTTTCCAGCTCTGGAGGAGCATGACGGCAATGAAGGCTGGGCACACTCGTGATTCCCCCTTCATCCTCCGGTACACTCACCTGCCTCTCCGCTCCAGATGGCAGCAGGAGTCTTGGAGGCCTGGCATTGCACCCTGGGGACCATTCTGACTTTCTCCTGGGGCCCACACAGCCATTCCCCATCTGGTGGTCTAGAATTAAAGCCAAGGACGAGAGAGGAGACTGGAGGTGAAACAATAGCTGGAGTAGAGACCCTAGTCCCTTTGCCCCTCCATCACGTTACCTCCCACTCCCTGTCCTGCCCTGCAGAGGGTGGGAAAAAGAGTCAGTCAGTTCAGAGGCTGGAGCTTTAGCTTTCTCTTGCTCACCCCAAGTTCTTCTCTCTGCAGCAATGTTGACTTCATGGTGACCTCCACAAACCTCCCGTTCGCATGTCTGCAGTGCCCCAGGTTTGCAACGACACGCTTCCCTCCTCCAGAAGTTTCATTCCTGTGGTGCCAAGGCTGGGAAACTTTAGCGAGCCAGGCTGTTCTGTAACTAACCTCAATGTGGAATCTGCCTAAGCCTTGAGTAATGTATTCCTTGCATTATTAAACACAGATTAAATATATATGGATATTTAAATGTAATGTGTTATTTTCCTAAATCTAGCTTCACTTGATGTTCCTTTGACTTTTCATTGCTCATCGTTGTCTCAGGGATCATGAATCACAGGCAGGAAGAAGCTGAGCTTTCTCAGCACCAAAGACTTTGCAATCCCATTACATTTGCCCAGGAGACACAGCAGTAGCTCTCCCGCCCAGAAAATTACTGCTAGGGTTCTTCACATGGGAATGTATTTTTTTTTTTCTTCCTAGACAGAGCTTATTTCTCACCAATGATTCAAAGGCTAGGGCAGCCAGAGCCTGGCAGACTTGTGGGTTTGTTTCTGTTCTGCAAGAAAGCTTGTGTTCAGGGCAAGTCATTAAATAACAAATTCAGACACAGTCAGTGCCTTCACCCTGACGGCACCTTCGCCCACCCACCGTCAGCTGTACAGACTTGTTCTCCCATGGGTGCTTGGAGGACCCCAATAAGTTCTGCTTGATTTTCTTTCTGAAAATAATGTAGTTCATTTTGCAATGTTCCTGCTCAATACCCCCAACCTAATGGTAAGGAAATTAGATCTATCCACAAAAGTGGTACATTTGGAGCAGAGGCTGTATGTATATAACCAGGTCCCCTTTTGTAAGTGGAGGAATAGGTAGTGGGTCTTGATTATCTGCAGTCTTTGCATGCTCTGACTTTCTATAGATATCTTGTGCTTCTAAGGAAGCTGAAAGGGGGATATAGATACCGTGCATTTTCCCAGCTACCCCTAAAACACGCTTCCCTCTTGGTCTTGGTTAAAGATTTTCCATTTGATGTCGATCAGTCGATTGATCAGGAGCTTCTGTTTATCTCGGGTTAGTGTGTTAGACCATATGCCGTTTGTGTTCTGAGTGAGTTCATAGTAGCTAACAAGACCTGATGGCACCTATTTCTTCCCCTTTCCTCATGTTAGAGCTTAAAATCAACCACCGAGGGAGTATTTACACCATGGAAACCAGCAAAAGCTAGAAAACAGGGCATTTATCCCCCTGCTGGAGAACTGGTTGTTAATATTTGTAAGCACACTACTTCCATAAACTCCCTGAGGGCACTAATCAATTCCTATAGCTCTCTTTATAGCTAGCTAAACACATATTAGCATTTACTGAAAGCTTTTAAAAGATGAGCATAGAAGACATGTCAAGTTGCAAATCTTTCCCAGTTTGGCTATAAATAAGTCATCCTCTCCTTGGAGTGCCACAGTCTACCAACGTCCCCTCTTTCCCACAGAATTGCATTATTGGTGTTATATTTTCTCAGTGGGGAGACACGCTTGATTCCAGCACCCATGTCCCTCTGAGTACGTTCTCCCTCTCCTGGGTGTGCTAACCAGCCCCCAGCCCTGGATTAGGAATCAAAGGGCTTAAGGAAAAATAACTAGTTTCCCAGCTTCCCCTGGACCCAACACAACTATTGAATGACTCTGTCTTCCAACAGGAGAGCTACAGAGCAGGCTGATCAAAGGCTTGTCTGGGAGGGGGGGAAAGGAGCAGATGTTGGGGTTCTTGGTGAAGAAGCGGCACATGTGGCTGCACTGACTCCAGAGGCAGCCGCATGTCACCTGGACTCCTGAAGATCCCAAAGAAGGAAAGGAAAAGGCCAGTTCAGTGTCCACGGTATACAGTGCTTGCTCTATCTGTCATACAATTAGCAGCCACGTGCCTCCTGACTTGGAAGTTCTTCACAACAGCTTGACCTTTGTTATTCTTCCTAGATGAATTCTCTGGAGTCCGAGATATAGTAGACATTCAATAAGCCCTTATTAAGCTAGCAATTAATTTTATTTGACATCCATGGGTCTCAAGGGTCAGAACATGAATGTGGCTGTGGTTGGGGGTGGAGTACAGGACAGTGGCAGAGAGGATTTGTCCTTTTCCCGAACCTTGCTTTATTCTTTGCACTTTAGCCATACTAACTGGGCCCTTAGTAGGAAAAGGGGTACTTCCCAAGATGTGAGGACCCAAACAGGAGAGAAAGGTTGAGGCAAGAGGGGTGCTGGCTGTTTGTGCATCACCAGCTCTAACTTTAGGAGGTCTTTCACTGTTTTGTCTTTAAGAATGGACTTTTTTTTAAATGGATTTTTATTGGAGTATGGTTGATGTACAATGTTGTGTTAGTTTCTGGTGTCCAGCAAAGTGAAGCAGTTATGCATATACATATATTCACTCTTTTTTAGATTCTGTTCCCATATAGGTCATTGCAGAACACACAGCAGAGTTCCTTGTGTTATCAAAAAGGTTTTATTAGTTATCTATTTTATATATAGGAGTGTGTGCATACGTCAATCCTAATCTCCCGATTTATCCCTCCTCCCCACCTGCCCCCTTTAATCCCTCCCACCCACCCCCCTCCCAGTAACCATAAATTTGTTTTCTACATCTGTGACTTTAAGTTTCTGTTTTGTAAACAAGTTCATTTGTACCATTTAAAAAAAAAAACAAAGAATGGATTCCATTAAGGAGCCTTTCAACAGAAAGTGTCTGCAGCTCAGGTAAGTAGGGAGTTAAGGTCTGTGGAGAATGGAATTTTCCTCGTGGTCGTACAGACTTGTTTTAACCACAGGAATGAACGCAAGATTCAACTTGTTTTCTTAGCTATTGTCTGGAACTCTCTCCGCTCAACCGCCGGCAGCTGGAGGTTTAATGTGACATTTTTCTGAGTATTATGATTGCTCTCTGGGCTTCTCTGCACAGCTTTCCTTTCTTCTTTTGCTTACCTCCTCCTGTCCTCTCATCCCTCTAGTCTTCAAGCACTTTCCAGTAAGCAAGCACTTGCCTTTCTGCCTCCAGCCAGGGGAAGCCACCTAGGGCTGGTTTATTTACTTCGTTAAGATGTGTGTCTCCTCTCCTTCCTGAACTCCCTATATCCTGCAACTCTCCCTTGAAACCACAAGCCACTGCCCTTACCACTTCCCAAATCCCCAAACAGAGCGTGGACAAGTCTTCAGGGTGGTGAGCTCAATTCAGATGCTGTTGCAGCCATCAGCAAGGGTTTCTCTACAGCCTCGTCAACACAGGGAAAGAAGAAGCTCATTTTCTCTCAATAAATGATTGCTGCCAGCCCCCAAGCACTAAATACCTTCCGAGCCTTAGTTAGAGGCCTGTTTATGGATTTTTGCTTTAGATATCCCAGTCTCTGTGTGGCTCCTTCTAAGATCTACCCAATCCCAGCCCATCTTCATTCATTCATCTTTAATTGAAGCAGAACTCAGAAAAAGTTACCCCCAAACTGGTTGACAAATTGGGGGTGGGAAAGATGGATTATTTCATAGGTCTCTCTTTCGATTGCCTTGATATTGTGGCTGCATCTATTTCATCTTTTTGCCTGGTTGTCTGAGTTCTCCCTGTGTCCAAGGGTGACAAATGGCCAGAGAAAAGTCAGCATGCCCTGAAACCTCAAGTAAGCTGAAAGCTCCGAGCTTGCCTTCTCTCTGCCAGTATTGCAATAAAAAAGCATTCCTGCAGACAATTATGTTTTTTATTTTGTTTTAAACCAGCATTAGAGAGATTGAAACAGATTTCTTCCCAAAGCATTCCCCTTTGATGAGGTGCAAAAAGGTTAAACAAAAAAGCCAAACTTTGGTTTCAACTGTAAGAAACCTTTATTCTAATTATAGTCATAATGATCCAATGTGTTTGGGATTTTGTTATTTGGAATTAGAATTTAAACAAAGACATCCTGTAATTACCATTGAACTTATCTTGAGGCATAAATCTAATAATTAAATACTTTCAGGTTTTATTCAGTGAGTAATTAAAATACAAAAAAAATACTGTGGTTTCATTTCCACCTTTTTAAGGAAAGTTCAAAAATTATCAATGGAGTTCTATGGAATGATCTGGATATTATTATGCATAAAACATAATTCTTAACAAAGTTTTAATTTCAGTTATTTATAGTCCTCTGCCCTGGTGATCAGGGTGTTTGAGCAGGTGAGAAATGTTGGAACCAGGAGTTAGATCTGGATGAAAAATACTTCCTTCAAGAAAGATAGCTCCCCAAACTCAAGCTTCATTTTTATTGTCAGCAAGGAAAAGGGAGGCAGGTACTGTGTGCTTTTTATGAGGACTGAGTTCTGTTTTCTGATCAGTTTTGGCAAAAATTAACAGGCCATATGTTTTCTCCTCCTGGAAGTGGAATGAGATTTGGCAGCAACAGATTAGTGTCAAGTCCAAGGGAAGGTCTTGCTAAAGGGTGTGCTTGAGGAAATTGAGCTCCTTTCATGGGACTGGGCCCCAAACATGACCAAACTCAAATTTGGATGGGAAGAGGAGGAGTGGACTGGTGTGGGGTAATGCCTGCTTAGATGGCAGAGTCTCTTAAGAAAAAGAGTTTTTATTGAAGTATAGTTAATGTACAATATTATATAAATTGCTGTTGTTTTAGTTTCTAAGTTGTGTCTGACTCCTTTGTGACGTCCTCAGCAGAGTCTCTGCTCCCATGTACTTTTGCAGACTTAGAGAAAGGGGAGGAGGTTTAGCATATAGTTTCTCTATTCACAGGAAAGTTCTGGGACTCAGATTTTCAGAAAAATAGAAGTGCTTCCACCTAAATCTTTAGGCTTGCTGAGTACAGTTAAATCCATCTGATAAGTGGAGTTCCTTCCATGTCAGCTTGGGTTTTCTGCATCTACCTGGCACCAACCCAAACTCAGCAGGAAACACTTGCTGAATCAATCCACAGCTACCCCTCCAGATGAGATAGGAACAAAGAAATGTGCCCACTCCCAACCCCAAGCAGTGGGCAGTGGTCCATGGGTCTATGGCAGTAACTTCTTTAAGTTCTTCTTTCCAAAGCCCTTCATTTCCTGATTCTCTTTGGTTGTAGCCTAAAACCAGAGCCAAGAACTCCATGGGCTTGGACCCCATTTCATCGAATCTTTTCCCACACCTCAGTGATCCAAGGAAAATGAAATTAAATTGCTTCACCATAAAAAGCAAGAGCTGAGTCATTTATCTCAACTGAATAGAACGAGGTGGTAGGTCCTCTCTCTC